CCCTCCCTAACACTCCAGCACATGCTCCCCCTGCCCAACCTAACACCCCAGCACATGCTCCCCTTCCCCTAACACCCCAGCACATGCTCCCCCTCCCCTCTCTAAAACGCCAGCACATGCTCCCCCTCCCCTCTCTAAAACTCCAAATAAAAACCCCTTTGAGGAGGTGGATCTGAGTTCTAATTAACTCCCATCTCCTCATCTGGCTGCCTTTTGATAGTAAGCCTCTTTCCTTGCCACAAGCCTGGCATTCCAGTTATTAGCCCTCCTGTGCGGCAGGTAAACAAACCTATGTTTGTGTTCAGTAACACATAGCAGGGAGAGTGGCCTGGATCTTTCAAAACAGAAAGTAAACCGGCCCTGAGCTAACTAATATTGCCAATCCTCCTCCTTTTTTTCCTCGTTTTTCTCCCCAAAGCCCCAATAGATAGTTGTATGTCATAGTTGCACATCCTTCTAGTTGCTGTATGTGGGATGCCGCCTCAGCATGGCCAGACAAGCGGTGCGTTGATGCGCACCTGGAATCCAAACCTGGGCCACCAGTAGCGGAGGGGGCGCACTTAACCGCTAAGCCACGGGGCCAGCCCCAGAAAATCACTTTTATTTGACATCACACTGCTCTAATTTATTTTTCACAGCAGCAGATTTCTCCTAATTATGTTGTGCTCAGATTAATATTAAAATCAATTGGCATTCCTGGGTCCACAGCAGCCACTGGGAGGAAAAAGGAACCCAGGAGGCTTCTGGTTAGAGAGAGCAGCCAGGTTGAGATTTAAAAGGTGCCGACTCTGAACGCAGGCTTCAACCAGCCCACTCTCCCCGCCTGAGGACCCCAGGATGCAAGGGCTGGGCCTGAGCTAGTGCTGTCTGTGAAAGGACAGCAGGGAGGCACTCTGGGCAAAACCAGCAAGGTGGCGTCATAGCAGGGAAAGATGGAGGGTCAGTGAGATTGGTTTCTCAACCAGGACACCGTGGACATTTGGGGCCGATCATTCTTTGTGGTGGGGGCTGTCCTGTGTGCTGTGGGTGCTTAGCAGCATCCCTGGCCTCCACCCACAAGATGCCAGTAGCAACTACCCCCAGTCATGACAGCCAAAACTGCCTGCAGACATGGCCAAATGTCCCCTGGGGGGCAAAATCGCCCCTGGGTGAGACCCACTGCTCTAAGGAGCAGCAGGGAAAGACCCCCCCCCCCCCCCCGTCCAGGTCCCAAAGCACTGTACGGCACTTATTCCAAGCAGCTTTCCTGAGTCTCCCCTCCTGCAGATTATACACTTCCTGAAGACGGGGCAGGGTCCCCCTCTCTATCTCCCCGGGGCTGGCACTATGGTTTTCACTGAGAGCACTCGCTGGACGCACGTGAGCGTATGTGAGCATCCTGGTTCTCAGGGCCCAGGCCCATGTCATCAGTCCCCTGTCCTTGGGTCACCAGTGCTCCTCGTTCACCACTTGGACAGCCCCTTCCAAACACCTGCATGGGCGGGTGAACCGCCTCGTGCAGCCGAGTGAAGGCAGGAGTTCCTTCCCCGACACACACCTGCCTCAAGAACTCTTCTGCCCACCCCTGTCGCAGACTTCTGGCCTTGTCTTAGACTCCCCCCTCTTCTTATAAATGCCACGCCTCTGAGAAGGTGGGGTGGGAGGAAGCACGTGTGGCAGAAGGAGGTAAAAAAAAGCAGCTCACTCCCACAGCATCTACTGGGCCACACACACGGTTTTATAAAGACCAATTCCTCCAACGCTCAGACCACCTATGTGGTATGTGCTATTACCCTCCCGTTCTGTAGATGGGGAAACTGAGGCACACAGAGGCGAAGTGCTTGCCCAAGGTCACAGAGGTCATAAGTGACGAGCTGGGATTTGAGCCCAGGCATTTGGCACTGGAGTCTGTGGCTGAGCCTCGACAGTCTACCGTCTCCACTTGCAGCCATCTCTGCCCCAGCCAGTGTTCCTGCCACCCTCACACTTCTCTTGGAAAAGACAGCATCGTCTTTTCTTCTCAACTTGCCCACCCACCCCTCACACTGCAGCCTCCTGCCCTGATGCTGTGTCCAGGTTCCCCGTCTGCAGGCGGTGGGCGGGCGGGAGGCAGGGACCCCACTTGGGCACAGTCCTAGGGCCTCTGGGAGCTGAGTGGGGTTGAGGAAGGCCAGGTCTGGTATTAGCCCTCCCAGACACACCACAGCGGCCTCACCTTCCAGCCCAGAGTGTAAGGGTAACACAAATTGAAAAAGAAAAAATTTCCATGGAGCAAAAAAAACCCCCAAAATTTCTCTCTCTCTCTTCTTAGAGTGTTTCCTTTAGGAAACTTATTGTAAATTATTTCTCTGTCCCTTTGAGATGTATATAAACCTTTTTAAAGGGTCAACAAGGCTCCTGGCAGTTTTACAATCCAGGAACATTTTCCTAAGGGTTTGGGAGCCGTCTCTCTGAAACACAGGCATCAAGGAAGATGCCCCCCATCTCTGCAGCAATTAGTGAACACTGATGGCCCCCCAATTACCAGGCGGATTTAGGATGGACTGGTGTGACAAATAGTGCTGCCTCTTCCTTGAGGATAGGCATCATTTATCTTGAGGACAGGTGTGCAGTGGGGTGTATCTGCTGGCTATCTAGGGCAAGCTTTCTGTCTCTGCAGTCTCCTTAGTGGAGTGCTTGTGATATGCATCGTGGTCTGGTTTAATGCTTATTCAATAATAGAACTCTTTCCTTTGTCTACCTTCCTGGAGGGGATTCACTGGGTTGGCAGGACGTCTTATCTCTATTTCCCCAACAAGGGTCATAGCGTGACTTTGCCTCAGGAGCCCAGGTTACCGTGGGAGGAGGGGAGCCCCTTCCGATGAGTGGCACGTTCTCGTAGCGTGGGTTCCCACCAAAGAGCACCGCCTGGTTCCTGGGGGCAGAGAGGAGAGCTCAGGAAGGGAAGGCAAGGGGCGGGGGTGGTGCTCAGATTCCTACAGGAGGGTCCCGGGGGTGTGCATATGGGAGTGGGGGTTGGAAATGGACCAAGGATAGAGTGGAGGGAGTGTGGGTGGGAAGAGAAGGGAAAGAGCTCTCCAGGAGGCCCAGGGGAGAAGCAGCAGATGGGGCGACAGGGGCCAGGAGCAGCAGGGAAATGCAGCTTTTTATCCCTGAGACCCCCCTGAGGGCTTGAGGCAAAAGGCTCGATATCTGCAGTGGGTTCTTCCTCCAGCACATGTGGGTGTGCAGGGGAGACAGAGGCACCAGGTATCCCATGGCTGCGGTGGGGCCCAGGGCGGGCCTTTGATGCCCTCTTCCCCACCTGGCTCTCTGGACCCATACACGCTGCCCACAGGGTCAGCTCGTCCAGGGCCAGCCCGGATATGTGGGGGGGCTGTCGGGGAGGCCCCAGGGAGCCCGGCCGTACATGTACTCCGAGACGGGGGCATTGGAGACGGTCTGGGCTGGGGGCTGCAGGCTAGTCTGGCTGCCCAGCCCGCTGCTGCGGCTGCAGAAGCTGCGAAGCTGCCCCCGAGGAGCGCTGTGGGCGGCAATGCGCCGGGCCTGGGGGTTGAAGGGGTCGTCATCGTCAATGTCATCATAGTCTCTGTCCCTAGAACGACATGTAGGATACAACCGGCTGTGAGGGGCAAGGGAGGCTCCGAGGCAGCGGGGGTCCTGGCCTGCTTCCCAGTCTTTGTCCCAAGACTCTTTCTCTGGCCACATGCGTCTCCTTGAGGTTCCTCCAAAACATGGTCCTCAGCCCTGCCTCACACAGATCACTCTGCCCGGTTCCCAACTTCATGTCCGCCTCCTCCAGGCAGCCTACCATGCTGCCTGCGGGCACACTCACCTTCTCTACCCTGCTTCCTCTTGTCTGATCTACTCTCGAGGCACGGAAACACCATCTCGTCTCTGTCTGTCTCCCCAATTAGACTGCAGGTTCCCTGATGACAGGGCTACAATCTGTCACCCCTGGTATTCCAGGGCATCCCTCCCAGCCCCGAAAGCTCTCCTCATCAGCTCACACCACACAGTCCTGCGGAGGAAGAGAGGACAAGCAAGGGATGCCAGGATGTGGCATGAGGGCTGTCGCCACCCTCAGCCCTGCTCCTGCCCTGGGCCCCTGGGAACCTCCTGTTGGGAGTCTGCCTCTGGACTCTCAGGGAAGCTTCTGGAGAAATCCAGCCAGCCAGTTGGGGCTGAATGCCTGGGCCCCCTGGTCCCCATGTCCGTCCCAGGTTACCAGCTCTCGGCTCAGTCACAGAGCAGAGCCCTGTACCTACTCCCCCAGGAAGCCCCCGCAGGCAGCCCACCTGGTGGTAAAGTGCTTCCAGGCCCGCGGCCCCGCGCAGATCAAGGTGGAGAAGGCCAGAGCGGCCAGAATGGAGAAGAGGCCGAGGTAGAGCAAGCCCTCGATGCCGTCATAGCAGATGCCAGCGAGGGCGTCCAGGTAGTCCTGGGGGAGGAGGAGGGACACACAGCTGCAGGGGGACTGCAGACACAGCCTGGCTCTGCGCTTATGTCTGGAAGCCCCTCCCCTCAGCCTGGACCTGGGATCTCCTATCCTTCCCCATCCCAAGCACCTTGTGCAGACATTAACAGTCCATGCTCCGGGGCTTGTTCACTCTACAAGCATTTTCTAGACACCTTCTGTATGCTAGGCATGGGAGGGTCAGCTGTGAGACAGACAAGGCTGCAAGGTGGGGGAGCCAGGAGACAGCCGGCATTTAATCTGGGGCCAGGAAGGCAAGAAGGTGTGGAATACACCTTGAGCAGAAGAGGCAGAGGGGCCAAGCTGGCACGTTCGAGAAAGAGAGAAAAGGCCAGCAGGAGACGGGGTGAGATGGCACGAGGTCACGCTGGGCCTTGCAGGGCAGGCAAGGAGTTTGCATTTTATCATGAGGGGACGGGAAGACATCGGAGGGTCTGGGGATGGAAGGGATGTGATCCATTTGGTTTTTAAAAAGACCGCTCTGGCTGCCGTATATGAAAGGTCATGGGTGGTAAGGAGGCCAGAGAAAGTTGAGGGACAGGTTAGGAGGCCCGGCTGTCACCCAGGGAGCAGGATGGTGCTTGGACCGCGGCGTAAGCTGTGCAGGGAGAGAGAAGCGGTCGCATTCAGGACACATTTGAGAGTAGAGTTGCCAGGGCTTGCTGAGGGACTGGGTGTGGAGGGGGAGGGAGAGAGGATACAAGGGCGACTCCCATGTTCTCAGCTCTGAGGTCAGACTGCCAGTGTCCAAACCTAGCCCTTGACTGGCCAGCTCTGGAATCTTCAGTAAGCTACTTTATAGATATATAGATATATACATATACACACCTACCTATCTATCTATCTATCTACCTACCTATCTATCTATCTATCTATCCACATACGTATGAAGTTTCCTCATCTACGAAATCTTCTATGAAATAACATGCATTTCATAGTATAGTGTGAGGACTAAATGACATATAGGATATAAAGTGCACAGAACAAGGTTGAGCACAGAACCAAGTACTCACTAAATGGCAGCCATGGTCATTATTAGGGCTATTCGCCCTAAATCCATATGGGATATGAAAGCTGTTGACACACACTGGCTTACTGCTTTGGGGAAGAGGTGCTCAGATACTCCCAATGTGTTCCCTGCATTAGTGTCTGATATTCCAAATTCCTGAAGAGATGACTCTGGCAATGAGACTGGGATGTCTACATGCAACCTACGGAGATGGATGGGTTGACTGGATGGCCGGGAGTCTGAACAATGGGGAAGAGCCTCCCTCCTATAGGTCAGGGTCCCCCAGTGTTCTAGAGGCAACCTGGTCCAATCCTCCTATCCCTGCCCCTGGTGCCTTTCACTGAGTCTCCCTGTCTCAGCGACTGGAGAGAAACACGAAGCCTGGTACCTCTTCCGTCTTCCTCTTGTCTTCTGCCCCATTCCCCGGGCCTGAAGGGGGCCCAGGCAATCACTCTCCCAGCCTCTACTGGCTTCTCTCTGGGAAAATGTGGCCGGCTGGGTGCCCCCCCGCCCCCCACTTGCCCCTCAGGGCCACCCCAGCACCTTGTGCAGCCCTCGGCAATCCAACATGGCTGTCAGCTGGTGAAGGCTGGACTCTGATGAGTTCAGCAGGAGCTGGATTCCGAGCAGATCTTTCTGGAAGCAGGGAGAAAGAAACAGGCAAACATGCAGACAGACAGAGAGGCAGAGAATGAGCAGTCGGGGGAGGGCTTGTGGACAAAGCCACAAACAGCAGCTTTTGCAAACAGGTCTGAGGGGGGGACACTCTCCACAGCCTGGCTGTCTGAGGCGCTGGCCCTGGGGCTCCCCACCTTCCAGCACAGATGCTGTGGGAGGCCGCCTTACCTCTGCTGTGGGAAAGAGGGGCACAGCAAACTGCAGCAGTCCCACGACCTGGATCTGCATGGTGGTCAGCGAGCGCTGGAAGATGGTCAGTGCCTGGGCCAAGAGAGATCACAGCCCTGCTGGGAGGTTCCATTTCCCAGGAGCCCCCACAGCTGTGAGGGCCTGTCCCCCTGCAACCCCTCCCCCTAGCTGCAGCTGCAGTCACATCCCTGATTACGGCCCTTCCTGCTTACAGGAAGTCTTCCCCTCATCCCGCAGGCTCCTCGAAAGCTGCACAGTCCTCTTGTTTCTTGCTACTCAAAGTGTGGTCCTCGGACCAGCAGCATTGGCCTCTCCTGGGAGCTTGTGAGAAATGCAGGATCTTGGGCCCCAGACCAGACCTACCGCATAGTATCTGCATATTAATCAGCCCCCTGGGCGACGGGCATGTGAGAAACACTGATCTAGAAGATGCTGACAGAGAGCACTGCCCCTTCAGAGGACCACAGTGAAGCAAAGAACACTCAGCCACCTCCACGTTACTGGTCAGTGCTGCACTTGGGGTCAAGAGGGAGTGAACTGATGGGCAGGGTGAAGGCTGCGCTGGGTGGGCTGGGTGGGCTGTACCTGCTGGAAGGGGCTGCTTAGGCTCTGACTGCAATACAGGTAGTAACGGGTCACCTCTGCAAGGCAAAGACATTGGCGTCAGTCGGGAGCTCACAAGCGACCAGGCCCTCATGCATCCTCAGTGGCCAAGCCAGTCCCCGACCTCCCAAAGGAGGTAGCTTCTAAGAAATGGCCCAGAAGCCCAGCTGGACCTGAAGTGTGGGTGTGTGTGTGTGAAGTGTGGGGGAGGGACTGGGTGACTCCAGGGCTGACAGAGGTAAGCAGAGGCACAGACTGGCTGGCCGTGGGCTTGGCTTGATAGCATCCAGAGCGCCTCTGACAACTGAGGCCCGAGAGCTGGTTACCTGTGTGGATCTGGCCCTCCGTGACGTTCAGGATGAAGGTGTCGGGAGCTGCGCAGAAGTCACTGGTGGCCTGAGCCAGGGAGAGATGGGACGGGTAGAGGACAGTCACGACACCAGTGGCCCCAGCCACTTGGACCCCTCAGCTCAGTCCCGGGTGGGCAAGAATAGTCAGGAGCCAGTTTCCCGGGTTCGAGTCCTGGCTCTGCCCCTTCCTAGCTCTGTAACTTTGGACAAGTGACTTAATCTCTGTGTCTCAGCTGCCCCTTTTATAACACGGAGAGAAAAACACTGTTCACCTGTATTAAACACTCTTATTTCCAAATGCTTCGTCTGGAATGGACCTCGGTGGGGGCCCAGCGAGCCTGGGCCCCGGGGAAGCTGCAGGACGTGTGTCGCGGAGTTTTTGCACCACGGCCTCATTTGCTCCTCTCTATTTAATTTTTGTTTTGCTGTTATCAAGTCCCACATGCTCTGAGCATGTCAATCTATGAGGAGAGTGCCCTGGACTCTCTTTTTAAAGAATTATGTTGGTGCTGAATCCATCTTTGAGCCTTCGGGCACAGGTCCAAGGACATGGGCCCTGGGCTCTGCCACCGATGACGTGGGGTCCTGGACCCTGCAGCACGGCCTGGCTGGGTGACCAGCTAGGGCCCACAGGGCTGAGTGGGAGCAGGTCCAGGCCCTGGGAGAGGTGGCAGCCATGATGCCATGCTCAGAGCCAGGCCCTCCCCAGATCTGGCCGGCGGGTGAGGTGGGGCACTGAGTAAGGGGGGCCTCCACCTTTCAGAGCAGCCACGGTAAGCTCTGGGCCTCCTGCCTGTTCCTAGGGCTGCCCCTGCTCCAGTGCACGCTCTCCAGCAGGAGACCCTTCCTCATGACCCTGCACTGCCAGGGCCCTGTCCTCCTTCAGGAGCGAGTGCCTCAGGGGTCCACACTGGAGCATCACTCATTCATTCATTGAGTCGATAAATATTTACTGAGTAGCTAGAGATGCCATGCCCTGTTTTAGGCACAGGATACAGTGGCAAGCTGTGTTGTGGTACTTAACGGTCCAGAAAATGTGTGTGTGTGGAAGACTGGGGAATAAATCTCCCTCCAGATCCAGAGCTTCCACAGAGCCACATCTGCACACACACTTGCGCACATGCACGTGCACACACACAACCATGCGCTCAGGACCCTGGGAGAACTGCTCTGCACACAAACCACTCACACACGTCATCAGTCAGACTGGTCTCTTACTGTAAATCAGAGCCACAGCACCAGTGCGCCCGGGTGCACCCCCACCCTGTCACTGGAGTGGCAGATGGGGGTGGCCGGGACCAAGCGGGGGGTGGGGAGGCCTTGGGAAAATAAAGAGCGAGGCCACCATCTTGGTCTGGGTCACCCCTCAGAAGTTTGGGATCCAAAGAAGGTCAGGAGGCGCCTGTCAGAGGCCCTGCCAGGGATGTGGCCTCCCACCCCTTACCTCCCCCTCAGTTCAGGCCTGCTCTTCAGACCCTGCAGTGAGGATTCAACTTTGTTATCAATGAAGACAAGGGCTTGTATGTGCATGTGCGCATGCATGTGCATTATTCGTGTGATGGGAGTGAGGATGGGGGAGAAGGGGGTACAGAGCACAGCTGGGGCAGGTGGAAAAGCCGCCCAGGGCCCAGCCTGGTTGAGAGCTCACCTGAGAGCAGAGGTGACGGTCCCTCACATAATGATAAATGTGTGGTAAAACAACGATGGCTACTGTTTATCCAACTTTTACTATACGCCTCCCACAGTTTAACCAGCCCTTCTCATCCCATCAACAACCCTCTGAGGTAAGGGCTATTATTCTCCCCATTTTACACACGAGGAAACTGAGGCCTGGAGAACCTCAGTAACTTTCCCAGGGTCTCCTGCTGGGCAGCGGTGGGGGGGATGTGGACCCGGGCAGGGGGTCCAGAGGCCGTGCTCCTGCTCCCCCACCCAACTCAGTGAGGTGGGCCTGCCGTCTCAGGAACCCCAGGGGGTGCTCTGCTCAGTCCACAGTGCTCTGCAGCCAAAGCACCTGGATGACTCTTCCCTCCCTCCTCTCCCCAATCTACTTTCCCCCTTCCTTCTTGGGCGCTTTCTCTCCTCTCTGCCCTGAACCCCTCCCCCTCTGCCTTACACTCCTGATCCCTGGTGGGCAGTGGGGGCAGCTGGGGTCACAGGAGGCTCGGAGCACTGCCCAAAGCCCAAGCCCAGCTCCCCTCATTCCCACTTGGAGCAGATTCTCAGGGGCAGGGCTCCTTCCTTGGGGAGGGCCTTTCTGGGGGACAGGGAAGGGAGGTATGGGAGGGGCTGCAGGGTCAGTCCTCTGGCCACACAGCTCCAAAAAAGAAAAACAACAACAAAAACCAGGCCTCAGAGAGCAGAGGCTGGCTGGGAGGCCACACAAAAGCTGCCCACAATAGCCTTTGCCGGCCGCCTCCCTCCCCTCCCGGCTCTTCCTCACCCCACTTCCTATTAAAATGCAGCAGTATCTCCAGCCCCATCAAAGGCCCATTCACACTCGCACTCGCACACAAGGGCCTGACTGAAAGAGTTAGGGAATGGCCTTTCTCTGCAGCTCCCTTGCATTCCAGGGCACCCAGCTGGCAGATTAAATCTCCTCTGGTTTCCTTGAACAGGGAGGCCTGGGGAGAGGGAGAAGCCCCTGCTGGGAGGGAGCTGTTGCCCAAAGGGCAGCTCCCGGTGGCAAGCTGGAGGCCTGCCCCGCTTCCAGAAGGCAGAGGCTGCCCAGGGGCAGGACAGCCCAGGGAAATCTCCACGTGCGAGTTTCCATGTGCTTACACTTGTCCCTGGAGGGGAGGCTGTCAGCCAGGCAGCTGTGCGTGTTGCTCTGGCCAGCTGGACTGTGTACAGCTCTCCCGGCTCCTGATGACATCAGGATGCTTTTGAGCATGACCTGGGCCCTCCCACCCGGCCCTTGCCTGTATATGGAGGGGCCCTAGCCCTTGGGACGTAGGCTCATGCCTGTCTAGTTCTCTCTCCTGCTCAAAGTGGACACTGCATGGTGGGGGGAGGAAACAAAACAGGAGATGCCCACCTCCTCTCCCTTCCGGACAGGCTCTGCCAAAAGCTGCTAGGATCCAAGCAGCACCAGGGTCCATTCATTCTGTGGGCATCCTGGAGGCACAGTCACAGCCCAAGGCCAGAGTGACTGGCCAGCCCCCGAGTCACTGGGCAACGCATGAGTTTGGGTAGAGGGCTTCCAGTACGGGCCCCATTCTCTTATCCCCAGGCAGCGAGGGCAGCACAGTTGCAGGTCATGGGTTTAGTGTGTGCCTTGGAATCAGCTAGGGGTTCCCTGAGGTCCCTGGTAAATCCTGCCCCTCTACCACACGCGCGCGCACACACACACACACGCACACACACACACAGCATGCACCTCCACTGTATGGATTCACATGGGGTTGTAATGATCCGCCTACACATCTTGCTCCTGCAGGCTGTGGCTGTGTCAAGAGCGAACATCATGTCCCCCTGGTTTTTGCATCTCTAGGCACCTGGCACCACTGAGTGCCACAGAGTCAAATGTCAGCTGAATGAATGAATGAATGAATGAATGACACATGCACACAGCTTAACTTGAGGATTAGGTCTATTAAAGACCAAACACCTACCTTGTGTTTTTTTGTTTTTGTTTTTGTTTTTTTAACAGTTTGAGGCACCACATCCAGAAACATACACCATTGTGTTTTAGACTGTGTGAGTCCAAGGACAATGGGACGGAAGGCAAGCTAAATGCCACATTCCACATTCCCACTGCCCGGGAAGCTGGCCAAGGAGGTGCTTCTGAAGCTGGGGGGCTCCTCCAGCCTGAGGTCCAGACCCCGCCCATCCTAGTTCTTCACACCCAGAGAGAAGTCACTTGGTCATCCATGCATGTCCTTACAAGCAGCGGCTGGGAACGGGCCAGTGAGGGGGAAAGGGATCCAGCATCAGGTGTCCTATCTTGGCTCTGCCCCTAAACACCTCGTGATCTGGGGCAACTTTCTCTGGGCCTGTGCCCCCATCTCTAGGGCGAGGGTGCTGGTATGGATGATCCAAGCCCCTTCAGTTCTGAGATGCTGGGATTCTAGGTTAGGGACTGAGACTGGAAGCTGGCCCTGCCCTGGGGACTCTGGACAGGACACGTTGGTGTACCACGTGTACACGTGTGGGGGTGGTCCTGGTCAGTCCACCCACCACCCCCACACTCCCCAACTTACCACTGCCACCGCGGTGTCAGCGGCCAGGGATGTCCAGCTGAGGAGCAGGGCCAGGGCCCCACAGCACAGCATCCTAGGAGAGAGGCAGCCACTGGTGGGATCAAGGCAAAGGCTGGCAGGTGGGGACCTGTGATGGCTGTCACCCCACCAACCTTCAGCACCCTTCCTCTCAGCTACGAACTTGCCCTCCTTGGCCCCCAAGACTCCTGCAGTGGCCCTGAGGGCAGCCTCAGTCCCTGCCCTGACATCGGCCCTGCTGACTGCTGGGAGAGGGATGGAACCCAATGCCCGGGCACAGGGCCCTGGGCTGCGAGGGCGCTGGCTAAGGAGGAGGTGCTGGTTAGAGATGGCGAGGGGCTCGAGTGCTTGGACTACATTTCTTCAGCTGCTCAACAGTCAGGCCCAGGAGGGAGGGGATGCCTGGAACAAAGCCCAGTCCTTGTTTGGTGGCCAGATGGTGAGTCGGTGGCTGCTGTCTCCCCTTAGCTGGGTGCTGAGGAGGGGGCGGAAGGCGGCTTCAGGCTGTTGTCCCCACCACATCCTCCGAGCCTGACTGGGCCCTGGTCTCTCTCTGACGATGGCACCATCACCCCATATGCTTGCCTAGCTCTTTGTCCCAGGCCCACAGGTGGGGCTACTCACAAGGCCAGGAGACACCTGGAGCGCTTGGCCAGTCCCAGGCAGGTGATGAAGCAGATGACCAGGTGCAGGATGAAGAGCAGGAGGTATGAGAGCCACCTGGGTGGAGGGGGAGGGCTAGTCAGGGGGAGCAGGCAGAACTCTCCGCCTGGGGCCCACCAGCAGCCTGAACAGCAGCCCCCAGGCCCCCTGGACCCTTTGTTACAACAAACAGCCCAGAGCCAGCAGCTAAGCAGACTGGATGAGGGTGCGTCCCCCGCCCTGAACAGGAAGAACCCAGTGTGCACAGGTGGACAGGCTCTTCAGGGGCCCTGGGGGCTGCACCCCCTTTTTGGCCTGGACAAAGGAATTACCTCCCTGGCTCCTGACTGAACATCTAAACCAGTACTGTCTGCTAGAACTTTCTGCAGTGATGGAAATGTTCTCTCTCTGCACTATCCATTCCATCTGCCACTTCCCACACGTGGCTGTGAAGAACTTGAAATGTGGCCTGTGCGACTGGGGCAATGGATTTCTAAATTTATTTAATTTTGATTAATTTAAATTTCAATGGCCACATGTGGCTAGTGGCCACACAGTGGACAGAGCAGGTCTAAACTGTCTCTCTGCAGCCTCCCGCAGGCATCTCTTTAAACCCTGGTTCCCATTGCTTCTAGAACTCTCACACGGCGTCAGACTAGACGAGGCCTGACATTTATATCCACAGATCTAAGAAAGCCCCTAAGATGCCCACTGCTTTGAGGAAAGCTCAGCCTGGCCTCCCCTCCCGCTCCCGGCTCTCTGGGACCCCCCCACTGTGGACGTTTCGATTTGTTTCCACCAACTTCGGCGCTAGGCACTGAGCCTGGCACCAGGGATGTGCAGATGAGTGGGCTTGGTCCCCAGACCATCAGGGAGCTCGAGGTGGGGCAGGGAACCCCAGGTTAGGACGTCCTGGGGCACCATGAACCTCCAGGCCTCCCGGCCCCGCACTCCTCCGGCCTCTTTGCCCCCTAGCCTGAGCTGATGGGGAAAGGCCATCACATAGCAGCTGGAGACCTTGGCAAGCTGCTTCAGCAACTTGGAGCCTCACTTTCCAAACCTGTAAAGGAAGCTGGAACCCTCCTCTCACAGGGCCGGTGAGGACTGAGTGCTCGCCAAATGCAAAGGGTCACCAGGCGAGGCAGCGAGGGATTCCGAAGTCCCCGCTCTCCTGCGTCTCCAAACCACAGACTCAAGAACTCGGAGAACCTGAAGTCCAAGGGCGCTGAGATCTCAAGCAAGGCGCCCTCGTTCCTTCCCTTCCAGACAGGATCCCAAGGTGGTCCTCGCAGCTCAGTGCCAACCTCACCTAGCAGCCACTTCCATTTGCCCTGCGCTGGGGGACCCGTCTGAGCAGCGGGGGCTGGTGCACAGAGGAGGCAGGGGGCAGAGAGAAGGGACTTCTCCCAGTGCCCAAAGAGGATAGTTTTGTGATCACTATTTCTCTTGGTGTAAGAGCCAAATAAATTCATTGACCCCTTCTCTTCAGCAAGGCTTTTCTGCGTCACTAACACCATAAGGAGGGTAACCAAGAGTTTGGAGGGTGGGTCCGCAGTTGGGTGGAGCTGGAAGAAAGTCACAAAGAGGCTCCAAGTGGCGGGGGCACGCTTGAAGGCCTCCTGGCAGCCAAGTAAGTTTCTTTCTGCCTTTGTGGATGGAGGCTTAATGCCGCAAAAAGGGGCTTTATCAAAACCCTGACTCCCTGCACAGGGTAGGGGCAGGCCCACTGTAGGTCTCTGGGGTTCCCAGGAGTGGAGCTGGGGGCTCTGGAAAAGTGCAGGGCCCACCCTCCACCAGGACGAGGCCACCAGGGAGCCAGTTTTCTTAGAATCAGAGTGAGAGGTGGAAGGAACCCCGGGAACCATCTAGTGTTGGGATCCCATTCTACAGACTGGAAAACCAAGGCCCATGGGAGGAGAGCCCGGCCCAGGAATTCCACACTCTCACCCATCTTTGAGCCTTCCTACAAGAGAACAAGCAGCCACAAGGCACCTCTCAAAATCCTGGTTTTGTGTTTCAAGCCTAAAGGGTTCTTGTTACCTCTCTCCCCTCCTCTACATGTCGGCAGGAAATCAAGTTACGATTGCTTCTCGTCACTCTCCAGATTGTGTTCCAACGGGCTTCTCTGTATCCACGCCTCATGCTGTAAGAGTTCCTGGAAACAGCTCTGCAACGCAGATGCATTTTCCCAGAGGAGCCCGGCCGTGACCTGGGGATGGATTTCTTTTTTTTTTTTTTTTTTTTT